ATTCTCACAGTCCTTACTGGCTTTCCTTTTCTTGTTTAACTTTACAAAAAGTGCTAGAGATGGAATGAAGGGTCTCACACAGCCGTAACACTGCGCTATTCAAGACCCCGGCTTTTCGGGCTGGAAAGATGGCTCAGAGGTTAAGAGCACCGGCTGTTCTTCCAGAGGTCCTGAGTTCAATTCCCAGCACCCACATGGTGGCTCACAACCATCCGTTATGAGATTTGGTGCCCTCTTCTGGTGTGCAAATATACATGGAAGCATAATAAAATAATAAATAAAATCTTTAAAAAAAAAAAAAAGACTCTGGCTTTTACCTGAAGTCAGACACAATCTTAATTTACTCCCTACTATATAGTAAGTTCATAGCACAATAGTTTGATTCACTTATTTATCATAGTTACCTACTTGTTTGAAGTATATCTTTTTGCCTCCAATCTCTCATAGTTTATGACACATGGTTAAATATTCTCTTCGGGCATCTAAGCTTGCACAGTTAAATACACGCAGGGACAGGAAGATCATTCTGATGCCTTCCTCACTTTCCATCTGCCCTTACGTACATTCTTTCCTTCCTTTCCTTGTGGTGCTTAGGTTGCACCCAGGGCCTCACCAACACTATAAAAGCCACAGCTCAAAAGGCTTCTTATGCCTGGTGGCAGTGGTGTACACCTTTAATCCCAGGACCCGGGGTAGAGGCAGACAGATTTCTGTGAGTTCAAAGCCAGCCTGGTCTACAGAGTGAGGTCAAGGATAACCAAAGCTACACAGAGAAACCCTGTTTCAAAACAAAACAAACAAGAAAAAAAATAAACCACCAGGCTTCTTATATTGTTACTTAGGCTGTCTTCTTCTCAATGTCTGTCTCCTCTGTCACAGGCTACAGTCCCTTTCCTTAGTCATTGTGTCACTGTTGCTTGGTTCATTCCTCCCCCTGCTCTAGTCTTCTCTTTCATTCCTCTTTAGAGTAGCCTTTCCTCTAAAGAGGAAAGGAAGACCATGGAAGACCATGTCTGCTAAAGAAAAGGGGAAATGGAAGACTTTCTAAGGCTATCCATTATTGCACTTCCAGAGACAGGTTTGTATCTTATTGAAATGCTTAGGAACCCTTGGGAGATGATGTGCCTAGGTAGTAGAGGCAGAGCTCTTGCATGTATCTGAATGTGGAGGGCTCGCTGACAGGGTTAGAACCAAGAGGACAGGGAGCCAAGAGAAGTCAGAGGAAAGCCTGTGCTGCATGCATGAACCTTTGTTAAAGCGGATGAGGTTCACAATTACTACAGCTGTGCTCTGTGTAGAAAGCTGAAGTCATATAGGTATATCCTACTAAACTAGAGATAAGGAAAATAGAAAATCTATTTAAAATTTTAAAATAGAAATTAGGTAACTTTTAGGTCAATAGGAAAAAAAAGATTTAAGATAGTATCTAGTATCCTTGTTTATTAGAAAACAAAAAGGTAAAAAGGAAATTTCAGTGGTGGGTGAGGGGCCACAGGCCTGAGAAGCCAGCACTCCCGAGGTGGAGACAAGAGGATTGCAAATGGAGAGACAGACTGGGCACTGCAGCAAGGCCTCATCTCAAAATACAATTTATAAAGGGACCACGGATGTAACTTTGTAGTTCTGTGGCAGCGTGCTTACCTAAGGAGTGAGTCCTGGGTGCCACACAGGGCAATAAAAGCAAACAAGCAAACAAACAAAAGAAAAACAAACAAAGAATGGAGAACAAATGTAGAAATAAAAAACGGCAACATACTGGACATACATATATACATAAATGTACATAGAATTTCTAACACTAGCACTTGGGAAACTGAGGCAAGAGGGCTACACAGAGATTGTCTCAAAATGAACAAAAACATATAAATAAAAAGGAGAGAGCTCAGCAGTGGTGACACAGGCCTTTACTCCCAGCACTATGGAGGCAGAGGCAGGCCTGAGTTCAAGGTCAGGCCAGCCTGGTCTACAGAGTGAGTTTCAGGACAGCCAGGGCTACACAGAGAAACCCTGTCTCAGGAAAAAAAAAAAAAAAAAAAAAGGAAGCGAAAATGATTAATACAGAGCATTATTAAAAAAAAGATGACTAGTAATAAATTTAAATTTAAATAAAATTAAAACATAGCATAGATTGCAGTACATTGAGCTCCATAGAGACAGTGCCGGATGGGCACTGGGCCTCGAGAAAGAAAATCAACTAAACATGGGCAAAGGAGATCCTAAGAAGCTGAGAGGCAAAATGTCCTCATATGCATTCTTTGTGCAAACTTGCCAAGAGGAACACAAGAAGAAGCACCCGGATGCTTCTGTCAACTTCTCAAGAGTTCTCGAAGAAGTGTTCAGAAAGATGGAAGACCATGTCTGCTAAAGAAAGGTGGAAATCTGAAGACATGGCAAAGGCTGACAAGGCTTGTTATGAAAGGGAAATGAAAACCTACAACCCCTCCTAAAGGGGAGACCAAAAAGAAGTTCAAGGACCCCAATGCACCCAAAGGGCCTCCTTCGGTTTTCTTCTTGTTCTGTTCTGAGTATCGCCCAAAAATCAAAGGAGAACACCCAGGCTTGTCCATTGGTGACGTTGCAAAGAAACTGGGAGAGCTGTGGAACAGCACTGCTGCAGAGGACAAGCAGCCCTACGAAACGAAGGCTGCCAAGCTGAAGGAGCAGCACGGAAAGGATATTGCTGATTACAGAGCTATAGGAAAACACGATGCAGCAAAATAGGGGGTGGTTAAGGCAGCAAAGAGCAAGAAAAAGAAGGAAGAGGAAGATGAGGAGGATGAAGAGGATGAAGAAGTGGAGGAAGAAGAGGAAGAGAAGATGAAGAAGATGATGATGATGATGAATAAGTTTTGTCTAGTGCAGTTTTTTTTTTGTCTATAAAGCATTTAACCCCCCTGTACACAACTCAGTCCTTATAAAGGAAAAAAAACTGTAATGTAAGGCTGTGTAAGGTTTGTTTTTAAACTGTACAGTGTCTTTTTTTGTATTGTGGTATAGTCTGGGGGTTGTACATTGGCATGGAAATTTAAAGCAGGTTCTTGTTGGTGCACAACCCAAATTAGTTATATATGGGGATGGTAGGGTTTTTTT